TCAGTTGATTGACGGTTGAGAGGCGGGACCAAAGAGCCAGAGCTCAACCCCCGCAAGCACAATTAGGCGAGTATAATTAGGGGAGTACACATTAGGCCTATATTGAGGTGGCCCCCCCAAGGTTGAACTACTGACCCTGCTCAGGATGGAACTGCACAACAGTTGCCCAACTCCTGGGTACCTATTTGCTGCTAGGTGAATAGATGCATTAAGTGAAAGGGAAACCGTTTCTGTCTCGTCTGGGGTTCAAACCTGGAATTCCCGACTGTGAATTAAGAACAAACCCAATTGTACTTATGAAGTTTGTACAAGTCATCCAGCCAAAAGAGAGGTTAAATTGGATGCATATGGCCATACTGACAATACATTCAAATAAGAGCAAAAAAATTATAAAGCCAAAATATTTCTTACTTGAGCAATATGAGAGACCCGTGTGTAGACATAGCGCTTGCAACATAGTTGTCGAGTACCCCAGGGAGGGCGATACAGTAACCATAGCTGCAGTCGTGGCCCAAGAGTTCCCCCAGACTCCAGACGTTCAAAAAGTGTTACAGCTACTTCCCCATTCAAAACAGGCTTACTTAAAATCACTGAAAAAAATATAAAGCTTTATAAAACTATGCAGACAAATGGAAACTAAACGTGATTTCTACAAAACTTGAAAAATCTGTCAACATTGGTCATATATAAAATGAACCAATATTAACACTATCGGTCACTTTGGACCGGACTCTCGTCCATTATTTTTCTCTTGAATAATACAAAAATATTTCTATAAAATTCATTTTTTATCCAATCGACCTAGGGATAGTATCAAAATAAGCGCCTTTAGAATGCGCACAATTTGATACCAAAATGAAAGATGAAACGTGAAACTTGATGTCTGAACACTTATATAATTATAAATAGGTTTTTGGTCAAAATTTTAAAATATGTGTTAAAATTCTATTTATTGTGCTATTATGTTGGGACTAGTTTTAAAATGCGCCTTTATGTCGTGAACAATTTGATACCAAAATGAAAGATGTAACACAAAAATTTATGTCAGAACACTGGAAAGATATAAATAATTGTGTGATGATGAGCGTCCAGAATTAAAATATTTGTTAAAATTCCAGTTATTGCTCTATTATTCTGGGACTAGTTTTAAAATACGCGCCTTTTTATTGCAAACAATTTGATACCAAAATGAAAGACGTAACACGAAAATTGATGTTATCAAACTTAACGAGTATACACATTAAGTTGCTGTGTACAAATTGGTGCTCGTTCACGGGTAACTTTAGGCTTTTCTGCGGGGAGGCATTCCAAACTTTTGTACATTATATTCATACACATCTGTAGGGAATTTAATTGCGAACACAATGATACCAAAACGAGCAACGTAGCACGAGAATTAAGGTGAGAAAAATGAAGCGAGTATGCACATTTTACCGATTTTGTGCGCTCACAGGTAACTTTTGCCGACTTTAGGCTTTGCTATTGGGAGTCACGCCAGGCTTTTGGACATTATATTTATACACCCCTTTAGGGAATTTAATTGCGAACACAATGATACCAAAATGAGCGACGTAGCATGAAAATTAAGGTGAGAAAGCTGAAATGAGTACAGTATACACATTTAGGTGTCACCGCGTGCTTGCCTGCACGTCGGGTGCATGACCCCTAAGTTGACCGCACGCCTGCCCGGTGACCGATAGTGTCAAGATATCCATACACATACTACACACTATTCTTATCTGTATATTTATACATACATATAAGTATTGTTACATCTTTACTGTGCATATACCATAATTACATACAGGAATAAGAGTGAGGGTTACCAGTTCATACCAGACTGTTGTGGCAATGGTGGTAACACCTGGTGGTGGACACCATAGCACTAACCACAAGGCCTGGTCAGAGACTGGGCAGCAGGAATACTAATCCTTGGATTCTTCAACAGATAGTCAACGGGAAGTGGGTTGAGTTACTCACCACTGTTTCCCATCCTCATATAAGGGAACAGGAACACAAGGAAAGTTACCCTTCATGATGGGGTATAAAATTCATGCAAGGCTGGTGGGTATTATAGGTATTGTGTAGACTATAAGGGCTCTGGCTGCAATAGTGTCTAAGGGGCTGTATCTCAGCTACATTACTCATTGTACCGTTTTAGTTAACTAAAGATGTTAATACAGTACAGTAATACAATTCATAAATTTATGATACATCAAGCAATCTATTTATTAGTATTTAGAGCAACACTAAATACAAAATCTGGCCTTATTTTATAAAGCATCAACAAATGTAATTAGTATTTACAGAAAATTCAACCAATAAAACCTCACCGCCTTCATTGTAGAGAAGAGCAACTGCTAGCTTGATACTTGAGCCAACATTACCCGAGAGTGCTGCTCTCTCAAACCAGTGCCACGTCACCTCCGTAGGCCATAATTCCTGCAATGAGGATAATGCCACTTTAATGCCGATTTGACCTTAGATTAAAATATGAGAGGCAATGGGGAATAAACCATGCAATTTCAGATGGGAAATGAGGTCATACAGGAAGATAATACACACTGCAACAATAGTCGCAAGAAATGCACAACTCTCCTACTAGCAATGGTAAAACTATTCATAGTAATATAATCATGTGTAGATACTAATTCCAGATACTGTATATCAAAACATGAGTATAATACAATAATATAACAGGATGGTAGATTTATATACTGTACATCCAACCATTTCAAACCTCAGTCTGCATCAAAATTAGATCACACTAATACATTATGAATGCATTTTATCCATGCCAAGCTTCTGGAAAAAATTCACTTAAAAAACATAAGCAGTCTATGGTAAAGTCTCTTTTATAGGGAGCCAGTCGGCCGAGCGGACAGCACGCTGGACTTGTAATCCTGTGGTCCCGGGTTTGATCCCGGGCGCCGGCGAGAAACAATGGGCAAAGTTTCTTTCACCCTATGCCCCTTTTACCTAGCAGTAAAGTAGGTACCTGGGTGTTAGTCAGCTGTCACGGGCTGCTTCCTGGGGGTGGAGGCCTGGTCGAGGACCGGGCCGCGGGGACACTAAAGCCCCGAAATCATCTCAAGACAACCTCGTACTGTATATATATAACATACCTTTGTGTGTACATGAGACCAGAGCAAAGGCGACTCATCAATAAGATTTCTCAGATATTTACAAGTGGCTGAGAGAGTTGTCAAGTCCCGCAGGGACACATGACGCAGAACACGATACACAAGTTCTAGAGGCACACCTTCAACTCCCACTTCACTCCACCCTGTACCCATTCTGGAAGATGCTCACTCATCCTGGAGGTATGAAATAAGAAAATTAATAACAATATGTACCATAGGATGCCTGATGTGCTGAAACAGGCCTACACTTGTGCAGCATTTTAATAGGAAAAAGTCCCTAAAGATGTGAAAGGGAAACAGGAGACCAGTAGGAATATATGCCATATGGGTGAAGACAACTGCTTTCTTACAGTTTACAAGAATTGGACAGAAAAAACAACTTGGGAAGCACACAATAAGAAGGGTAACATCGGTGGTATATGGAAAGCTGGCAAACACAAGAACATTTAGAAATTGAAACAAGCCTTCAAAACCATAAACACTGTCTATGTGAGACCATTGCTAAAGTATGCAGCACCAGCATGAAATTTACACCTCATGTGGTATAAAAAGAAATATAAAAAAAGTAAAAAAGTTAGCCAAAAGATATGTACCCAGGTACCAGAAATGAGAGGGGTTATTATGAGGACCTGTTAAGGGAACTGTAGTGAATGTATTATGTAAATAATATACTTGCTCCAAACTCTCATTAACTTAATGAGAGTAGCACAAACTCGTTAGCACTAATGACAAAACTCATACATCTTCCCTATTTACAGTTAAGATTCCTTTTAACCTATTGGAGGACGATGAGGCGAGGTGTGGTTCGATTATACAGTACTGTACATTACTGTATAAGCAATCTAGAAGCGAGTAATTATCTTACGGGCTATTCATGCCCGTGCCACCTTTTGGGTGGCTTGATCTTTATCAATCAATCATCAAGTAATCATCAGTCTAATTTCCACAGTGGTTCAGTTAACTTCAGTATGGACACTTGAGAGTTACTGCACACCTTCAACCTTAAGAATGTAGTACTCGGCGTATTCAGTTCCTATCGACTCCCAGACACTTCAGCTTCAACACGGAGCAGACTGCCAGACTAGTACCGCATCGAGCATTCACGCTCTCGTTCCCCATTGAGCTCCCATGCTCTCGGACCCATCGAGCTTCCATGCTCTCGGCTCCCTCAAGACGCCATGCTCTCGTCTTGCATTGAGCTCTGCGACTCCGGCCGCAGACTCTGGCAGCTCACTGCTTTGCTCCAGGCTTCATCTCAACATCTACAACACTGCCAGCAATCGACTACTGAAACCAAGACTACTAAATAAATATCAAAACCTATAAACTTACCAAATAACGTAACACAATCGTACATTACAGAACTATCTCACAACCCTATGAGAAGGAATAGATTGGATATGATCACTACAAACAAGAGACTGTGGGGATTAGACAAGACGGATCAGGGTAGCATCTTTAAATTAAGAGAAAATAGAACAAGACAGTCACTGAAATTTATGTAAATTCTTGTACCCACTATGGGTAGTTGGCAAGTAGAATGCACTGAAAGAAGGGCTATAAAAACTACTATCTATAACTTCAAAAACAGTGTATGTAACTCAGAATGTGATCATCAAGATATGCATATATAAAGGCATGCAAAGTACAAGAGGCCAGGTAAATCTCACTATCACATAATCATTGTTAGGTTATCTTGAGGTTATCTTGAGATGATTTCGGGGCTTTAGTGTCCCCGCGGCCCGGTCCTCGACCAGGCCTCCACCCCCAGGAAGCAGCCCGTGACAGCTGACTAACACCCAGGTACCTATTTACTGCTAGGTAACAGGGGCATTCAGGGTGAAAGAAACTTTGCCCATTTGTGTCTGCCTCGTGCGGGAATCGAACCCGCGCCACAGAATTACGAGTCCTGCGTGATATCCACCAGGCTACGAGGCCCCCTAAGGTTAGGACATACAGGCTCCAAAATATTTTCATATCATTGAATGTGGCATTCTTTGGGACATACTAATAGCCAACACACTAAGATTTCACAATTAGCTAATTCCTTCATGATGAAAGTTAACCTTTTGTTTCTAATGCAAATTAACTTGCCCCATAACCTCCTCTTTAAATATACAATAATCCTCACCTCTTAAATTAATCTTATCTCCACAATCACAGTAAAGATAAAAATGTTAATCATAGAGAAGTTATGTTAATCATAATCAAAAAAATGTTAATCAATATTTCATAAGAAATATTGCCGGAACAACAGTGGACATTTTCAAGAGGAAACTAGATTTATTCCTCCAAGGAGTGCCGGACCAACCGGGCTGTGGTGGGTATGTGGGCCTGCGGGCCGCTCCAAGCAACAGCCTGGTGGACCAAACTCTCACAAGTCGAGCCTGGCCTCGGGCCGGGCTTGGGGAGTAGAAGAACTCCCAGAACCCCATCAACCAGGTATCAACCAGAGAAAGGAAGGGTAGAGATCAGTGACTATGATTTCGATGACTATATCACTGCATATAGGCCTAATACTATCACAGTTCGGCATTCAGGAAAAAGATTAGTTATCTTCCAGTGGTCATCAGGAAAAAATAGTACCACTCAACTTCACTACTCTTAACACTGGAAAGTGTTCAAAGGAAAAGGGCAGTTTTATGTAAAAATGAACCAACCTCATTGAACATTTATTATGTAATAAGTATGCAGTGGATGTATAGGCCTACACTACAAGAGTCAAAATAAGCATCAATTAATCTGACCCAACCAAATGATCGTGTGAAACTTTTATACACTATTCATACTGTACTATTTTATACTGTAGACTCTGTTCACCCAGCAGTAAATGGGTATCTGGTTGTTAAACGATTTGGCGGGTCATACTCCTGGGAAAATTAGGATTAAGGACCTGCCTAAAATGATGTGTGCTAGTGGCTTTACAAGAATGTAAGAACTCTTATATAAATATAAAAATATATAAAATAAAAAACACATTACACATTAATGTATTACAACTCTGTTAACTAGCTTAGACAAACTAAAACTTGAGTTTCAGTTCTTGTGTCCATTAGTATTACTCTTCCACTGCTACACATAAGACAGGTTGGGTTGTGGGTTGCACCCAGGTCAATCGTTAGCCAAGGGGGACCTTACACCTGATGCCTCCGTTCACCTACCAGAAAATAGGAACTCAGAAGTAAGGCAGCTGTAGCATCCTGGGAAAGCTCAGTCCTTGGCCTCCATAAGCCTAACAGGATGCCTAACCCCGACAATGGGAAAATCCTTCATCAAGAGTGCTGCAAATTTTCCAAAATTGTAAGCTTTCCAAAACTGATGAAGTGTCTTGCCCTTCGGCCGCCCTGTTGGCCTCGCCGCCAACGTTGCCTGGTGTACCCGCTCTGTTGCCCTCCTGCACCCCTTGCTAACACGGGAAGCTCTTAACGAGGAGACAAGGAGAGTGTCTTACCATAGAGCCAACACCCGCGGCACCAGCTGCTCCAACACCCGCCACAACAACACTGTGTCCGGCTCCCTGCACCGGCCACGCACACCTTTTCCTCCACCAATAATCTTCCACCACCAATACTCTTCCTTAACATCACCGAAATAATAATTAACGAGTCTTACTAGAAACAGGATCTAGAGGACAACATCGTTAAAAAAAAAGTCAAGTTTCTCCTGTCGCGAAGCCTCAACAGCGAAATCGGATACTGGCCGCTGTCCTGAGGAATGTCCCGGTAAGAATGAAGGAATAAACACCTGTGGCTATATTACTAACAACCGTTCACAGTATACAAGCGTTGTTTAACTATGTCAATCTGAGGACAACGATATAGTTCTAGTGCATGTTAACGACTTCAGTAATGTAATCCAGTCGTTTTTCATAAGGCTAAAAAAAAAAATTATATGGAAGTGGCCACCTTTGTTGAGGCGGGCGGGGCAGACAAGGGAAAAAAGCGCCATTTCCCCAACCTATTATTTACAGGACAAAAAACCGCGAAACTTTCAAAATATTCCAACTTGAAGTTGTCAGTATTAACATGTTTAGAATTGAGACCGTAGCAAGTATATTATGTCAGTAATAGACTTGCTCCATATTCTCATTAGCTTATGTCCATCATTCACTTACTAAAAACCAAAGCTGGGAACATTAATGAAATACCATCTATGGTATACAAGAGTGTCTCCCATGCCCTTGCACCACCCATAGCTCCGTTATTCAACAAACTTCTAGTGTCATACTTTCCTTGATATCCTTAAAAACGCATGAGTAACGCCAGTTCATAAAGGAGACAATCCGGCAGATATACAATTACAGACCAATATCAAATCTACCTATATTATAAAAAAATATTTGAAATTTTTGTGTATAAACAGCTCTACTCCTACCTCGTAAAATTCAACATACTAAGTCCTTGTCAGTTTGGCTTCCGCTCCCAAAAGAGTACCTACGATGCCATTATATTACTCTGCTTGATATAATTTACACAGCCCTTGACAAAAATGAGTTCACATTTGGACTCTTCATTGACCTGAGAAAGGCCCTTGATACTGATAACCATAACTACTTCTTACTTAAACTTCACAATTATGGAATCCGAGGCCTTGCCCTGAAGTATATTCGATCCTGTCTTAGTGACAGACACCAATATGTAGCCATCAATGATATAACCTTCCTCACTCTACCGTTAACCGTTGGAGTGCCATAGGGCAACATCCTAGGACCTCTCCTATTTCTTCTATACATCAATGATCTGCCTAACGTCTCTAACATTCTTAAACCTATACTATTTGCTGACGATACTACCTTCATCTTCTTTTATTTTTTTATTTTTTTTATTCAAGAGTTCTTACATTCTTGTACAGCCACTAGCACGCATAGCGTTTCGTGGGAGTCCTTAATCTTAATATTCCTCGGAATACGACCCGCCAAATCACTTGACCTTGAGAAGAAGTATAGGTTAGGAATTGTCTCCAAAGAATTTTCAAAGAATTTTTACTCGTCATTACTATCTAAAATAATTAGAAGAGCCAAAACTAAATACTACGAATATAAATTTACCCAAACAAAGGGCAACATTAAGAAAACATGGAACATAATTTCACAAATACTGGGATCAAAGAAGATTTTAAATAACAAACCAACACTCCTGTCCAATAACGATGGTCAGCTTTCAGCCTCTGATACTGCTATTGAGTTCAATAGGTTCTTCTCTTCCATTGGGTCATCCCTTGCAAATGATATTCCATCTTCCAGTACTGATGTTAAGGACTATCTTACAGGTAACTATCCAGTCTCTGTACCTAAAGCCTACTAATTCCACTGATGTTAATGAGATAATCCTTTCCCTTAAAACCAAGTCTAGTGCCCTTGAGGAGATACCAACTTTAATTTACAAAAAAGCTTCCAGATCTTTAGCCCCTGCTATTGCATTGCTCTTCAACAAGTCACTTGAACTCCAAACCTTTCCAGATATTCTAAAAAAAAAGAGAAAGCGAGAGTAACCCCTGTCCACAAATGGGTGATCTCACAGATGTTAACAACTACAGACCTATATCAATCCTGCCTAACTTGTCAAAAATATTTGAAAAACTAATCTACAAGCAGTTTTACTCTTATCTAGCCAAACACAATATACTTAGCTCATGTCAATATGGCTTCAGACCCAAAAAAAGCACTAACGATGCACTTATTAGTATGATTAACTTGATTCATACAGCTCTTGATAAAAATGAGTTCCCTGTTGGGGTATATGTGGACCTGCGTAAGGCTTTTGACACTGTCAACCACCAAAACCTTCTTCTTAAATTACATCATTATGGAGTCAGAGGACACTCCCTGCAATACCTCAAATCTTACCTTACTGACAGGCTCCAGTATGTTTCTGTGAATAATTCAATTTCTCCCACCCTACCCATCAACATTGGTGTTCCTCAGGGCAGCATACTTGGCCCTCTCCTCTTTCTCGTCTACATTAATGACCTTCCAAATGCCTCCCAACACCTCAAACCAATTCTATTTGCTGACGACACAACCTTCATTTACTCCAGTCCTGGCCCCCTTGCTCTTAATGTCACAATAAATACTGAGCTAAATAAAGTCCATCTTTGGCTAACTGCCAACAAACTCACCCTCAACATTGACAAAACTTTCTATATTTTGTTTGGCAATAAATCCTCAAATCAAATAAATCTCAGGAGAAATAATACCCAAATTTGTAACAAAATAGATGGCAAATTCCTTAGCGTTCTCATTGACCACAAGCTGAATTTCCAGGGACACATTCTAAATATATAAAAAAAAAATTCAAAAACTGTTGGCATTCTTTCTAAGATCAGATATTATGTACCTCGCCCTGCCCTGGTGACGCTCTATTACTCCCTCATCTATCCTTATCTCAACTATGGTATTTGTGCTTGGGGTTCTACTACCCAAAATCATTTACGTCCTCTAATTACTCAACACAAAGCAAAGAACAGTACATCCAGTATTCCATCTGTCTAAACACTCTATGCAAATAATGGGTGTCTATGGAACTCACTCCCTAACGAATTAAAAAGCTGTCCAGCCTACGCCTTATTTAAAAGTAAATCAAAAAGTACCTAATTTCATCCTCATAGTTTCCTACCCAGTACTTTAAACTGGCACTATATCTTGTGCTACCCACTCCCCCAAAATATGTACCTAAGCCATACATCTTCACCATCACAGCCATCATCTTATATCATGGTTGTTATATTGAATGCAAAGTTTACTACAATGTACCTAGAAATAATCCTCAAATTTTGCGGTAATGTACCTAGTAATTTTCTGCAAATTTTCTTACAATGTACCTGCTAACATGTTTAAATTTTGCTACAAATTACCTACTTAAATTTATCTGTTAGATTAAGGACCTGCCCGAAACGCTATGCGTTTTAGTGGCTTTGCAAGAATGTAAAATCTTCAATGCTATGTTTTTAGCAATCTGAGAGCAGCAGTACACCAAGAACTTCAACAAAATATTGTAGATATGAGGCAAAGTGAAGTTGACACCAGTAATTCCATCTATCATCATACTATCATGCAAGAGGAGCCACACATCTATGGATCATCCAATAAAATCAGCAGACTTCTAGATGTTACTACTGCTCGGCTTAGACTCAGTTACAAGTATCTCTGGGAATTATCATTATCTGCCGATGTAGACCTGACCAAATGTAAACTGTGTCAACAAAATTATTCGCACACCCACCGTCACTATATGATGGAGTGCGAAAAGATACGTGAATTCAGAGACAACTCTATAACTAAATGTTCCAACGAAGTGTAAATATTTCACTCAAAATGATCTGCTACCAGAAATTTTAGCCAAATACCCCCAGTTTGATAACTGTAGGTAGTAACTGAGTGATTGTAACCTATCCACTGCTGCCCACTGGATGGGGGGGGGGTGTAACCTATCCACCGCTGCCCACTGGATGGGGGGCGGTGTGCAGGACAAACATATCAATTGTGACACTAGCTCTCCACATATGTCAGTTGCTTAAAGGGTATGGGGTGCATAATAAATAAACTAAACTAGAAACTCTCCGGCAGCTTTGTTTCGTTAGTTTAAATCTATGACCACTTGTTCTTGAAGTTCCAGGTCTCAGGAATTCTTCAATTTTATCAATTCCTGTTACTATTTTGTACGTTGTGATCATACCTCCTCTTTTTCTTCTATCTTCTAATTTAGGCATATTTAATGCCTCTAACCTCTCCTCGTAGCTCTTGTCCTTCAGGGCTGGGAGCCACTTAGTGGCATGTCTTTGCATCTTTTCCAGTTTGTTGATGTGCTTCTTAAAATATGGGCACCACACAACCGCTGCATATTCTAGCTTTGGTCTAGCAAAAGTCGCGAACAATTTCTTTAGTATTTCGCCATCCATGTATTTAAACCCAATTCTAAAGTTAGAAAGTGTAGGATAGGCTCCTCGCACAATATTCTTTATGTGGTCCTCAGGTGATAGTTTTCTATCTAGAACCATCCCTAGATCTCTTTCTTTATCAGAATTCTTTAAATATTTCTCACATAATTTATAGGTTGTGTGGGCTCTATGTTCTCCTATTCCACATTCCATAACATGGCGTTTATTCACATTAAATTCCATTTGCCAAATGGTACTCCATATACTTATTTTGTCCAGGTCCTTTGGAAGGGCATCAGTGTTTCTTATCTTCCCTATTATCTTAGCATCATCAGCAAATATGTTCATATAATTCTGTATACCAACTGGTAGATCGTTTATGTAGACAATGAACATTGCCGGTGCAAGAACTGAACCCTGTGGTATGCCACTCGTGACATTTCTCCAGTACGATACATTGCCTCTGATTACTGCCCTTATTTTTTTATCAGTTAGAACATTTTTCATCCATGTTAGAAGCTTATCTGTCACCCCTCCAATATGTTCTAGTTTCCAAAACAACCTCTTATG